ACATTCATGTTGCAGAACTTATGTTCTAACTTATGATGCGACCTCATTTTCTATGGTGATGGTTCGAGTGTGAGTAGATAGATCGTTTGTTTGAGGATTTAGTGAAGTGTTACCTATGGTGATGGTAGCAATTTGGTGTACTTCGGTTCCAAGAGGGAATCGATCCTATGGTCGGGATCAAGGGGTGAAATGAACCTAAGGGTTCATATTATGGTACCACATGCACCGAGTCAGTGTCATTGATAATGGTATATATTGTTATAATGATATATGTTGTTATAATGATGATGTTGATTATGAATACAACTCTCTTTCCTTATATATTTTATAATGAATTATGATTACTCGCCTTTTTTGTTTGAATGTTGTCTCCACGTGGGTAATGCGCATATACTCAAGAGTAGCTTGCAGGAGTATTGAAGATGGCTTTTTTTGGATTATTTAGTAATTTATCATTATTTAGAGGTGTCTTGATCTGATATGTAACATCGGGTTGGAAACACTTGATTTAGATTTTATGTCATGATTTTTGTTGACGTATTTACAAGGATTTTGCATTGCTGGACTGATTTAATTTTCAACTCTTTATGAGACTAAATGTTATGAGCTGGAAAGTTGAGCATATTATTTGGTGATGATTTCGTTGTGTTGCTTTTAAAAGATGTATTGAAGTTGCATGAACACCATGATAGTGTATGTTATGAAAAGTTTTTCTTTTATTTCTATTGTTGTAATCCATGCCACGGAGCAGGATTGTATTTATGTTATCTTATTATGGAGTGTGACACCCTTGTGCAGTGATTTTAATTTAATTATTCTTAAATTACATGAGGGACTTAAAAAGGTGTTACATTAGTGGTATCAGAGCAGGTCAGTCCGTCCGGCCAGGTTGTCTAATGTTTTTTGTTCCTTAATATGTGACATGTGTGTCAAACACTATCGATGCTTATTTTTTTTCTTCATTATTTGTCTACAAGAGTGAGATTGAAACAAGTGGAGGAGAAGATTTTGCTTTTCTAAGAGGTTTTAGTTATGGAGTGTTGGTTTTGTGTGCGACAAATTGCAAGGCTGTAAGCTTTGTTAGAGTTGCGTTGTTTCTCGAAACCGAAGAGAGCATGGAATTGAGATTTTGGTCTATCGGTCAAGTTGGGATGTCTTTGAGAAAGAAAGACCGAGTATTATTGATGTTTGCTCCTAGGAGAGTGAAGAGCAAGGTGAAGGCTAGTGATATACCAATGATGTGTAAATTCCTGATGTTTTTCCCGAAGATATCTTCGACTTGCCTCCAGAGCATGTACCCGAGTTCGACGAAGGTGAAGAGATGTTTGTTTCTGCTAAGCAAGTGGATGAGTTTGTGAGAAATGATGCACTTGTGTTATTGGTTAAGAAGAAAGATGAAATTATGAGGTTGTGTATAGACTACTGGCAATTAAATAAGGTGACTCTCAAGAATAAGTATCCACTTCCGAGGATTGATTATCTGATGGATCAGTTATGTAGATCCTTCTAAGGTTGATGATATGTTGCAGCAGGAGACTCTAAAGTCTGCTACTGAGATATGAAGTTTCTTGGTTTAGCAGGTTATCATCGCATATTTATCAAACGCTTATAAAAGTTGGCATTACCTTTGATTCAGTTGACTCGAAAGGGTCAAACTTATGTGTGGGATGTTGCATGTGAAGAAAGTTTTATAGAACTAAAGAAGATGTTGACGACTGCTCCAGTATCGACTTTTCCTAATTCGAATGAATCTTTTGTAGTATATTATGATGCTTCGAAGATGGGTCTTGGTGGTGTATGATGGGTGATTTTCATAAGTATGCGGAGTCTATAAGAGTAACATAAAGAGTGACGGGGCTTCCGTTACTGGTAATAGATTTCCAGAAAGTGTCCAAGATCCTGCATGTAATTATCAATGGGAACTTCAGGTGCAACAGTTGGACCATACTGGAATCCTAAAAGGCGAGAAAAATCTCGGTGGTTTCACTTATACTATCACCCAAATAACCTAAAGGAAATCATGCCTCTATAAAATCCACGACTGTGATACGACTGGTAAGTAAGTGAACTAAGGAACTCGAGGGTAAGGTTCTGGTAGGTGACATTTTCTGCATACCCATCCCATTCGACTTGGTTACACATGTACCTAATGCTAGCCTCAATCCTTAGGGCTTCTAAACAAGTGGAGTCAGTGTATCTAGTGGGTAACATAAGTCTCTCAAATAGGATCGCATCACATTCCTTTTAGGCTTCATCTTTGAACTAAACGTGCATGTCAGCGAAGTTGTGCATTCTGAAAATATAGTTAGTGGGAATAAGCAATGTAGAACGATGAGACCTGAAATATAGACAATCCCACAAGTTAATTTTTGTTAGAAGAAATAATTTACCATTTTAATAGCAGGGGTAAATAAACAAAATTATATATATATATATATATATATATATATATATATATATATATATATATATATATATATATATATATATATATATATATATATATATATATATATATATATATATATATATATATATATATATGATCATGGGTTGCCTCCCACGTAGCGCTTGTTTAATGTCGATAGCTCGACAATGTAAGGAAATAATCAAGGTGGCTCTTTTGAGAATGAATCCTCGATCGAAACTTTGATAATGTTTGGTTTCCAAAAATTAAAGAATCAATTTTAGGATTTTCTTTATTAAGTGGCTTATAACAAGCGAAAGAAACATAAAATGTTATAAATGATAAATGACATAAAGTAAAAAAAGCGGAAAAGTAAAAATACAGAAATATAAAGTGCGGAAGAATAAATGACATTAAAATAAGTTAATAAAATATAAAGTTAGTGTTAATGATTAATAATCCGATTAGGGACAAATGTAGTTTCAATGAAGCAAATGAAGCATAGTACTCATACATGTTAGAGAAATGATAATTTGAAGTTCATTCTCTTATACATGTAGTACATTTAACAAACATGGGAGATCAAGACAAAGTCAAAGAAAGATACATTATGACAAAATTATCATCAATCCTAAGTACCTTGAATGATCAAATGATCACCTAGAGGTAGATTGAAAATGATGAAAGTTCATCAAATATCCAACAAATTTAGATGAACTTAAGAGTTCAAATACTTTCCAAATTGATTAAAATAAAATAAAAAAACAAAAGAAATCGATGAGGAAGAATAAGATGAAAGATAAGGTGAAAACCAAATGGCCTAAAGGAAATAAAATCAAGCATTAAAAAAAAAGTGATTTTTATATGGAAAATAAAAGAGAAAATCCACAAAAAAAGCTTCAAAACATAAAATAAAAAAAAAGGCCAAGAAAATATATGCATTCATACGGTTCTCGTGAGCTAAATTGAAATTAAACTCCGAAATCACGATAGAATAATACACAATATAATATAATATCAATATATTTTATGATTTTTGTATTTTTATTATTGTTTATATATATATATATATATATATATATATATATATATATATATATATATATATATATATATATATATATATATATATATATATATATATATTATAGGAAGGTGTAATTAGAGTGTTATTGATGGTTTTAGTGTCTTGTTGTAGTTTATCAAGTAAGTTATGGAAGAAGAGCAAAAGTTGATTGAAATTGGAGGAAGGGTTTGAATCTTTAATTTGCAATCTTTAATAGTTGATAAAAATAAATAAACACATTAAAATAAACTATACACGACAAAGATTGCAAATGATCAAAATCAAAAATAAAGATATCCGGTTAAATAAACATTGACAATTAAAAATGCGACAGTAAACTGCACTGAAAAAATAAAACGAACATATCAACATGATCTACACGAAACATAGATTCATAAAACAGTTAGTTAAAGATCAAAGCTCAAAATATTTTGTTTGTTAATTTTTTCACACGGTATCAAATCTCTTTTACTAGTCTGCCTTTAGAACCAAATTTCAATATTATTAGATTTTGATTAATTTTGCGTAATGCATAAATCAGTGTAAGGAAATAAAAATGCATGAATTGAGATATCAAATATTTCTGACTTTAAAAGGATGCAAGTGTTGACTTAAGTTGACTTTTGATCAACCTAAATGCATGAATGACCGACTAATGATGTAAATACAGTGAATGAATGATCTTGGAGCAAATATATGAGTTGGTTTTGATTGAATTTAGCCAAAAACTATAATCTAACCTATAATCTGATTATATTTTGTTCTATTTTAATGTTGTTCAGGCAGATGATTAATGTAATCAGATCAAACCAAAAGCACAGCAACAATACTATGCAGTGACACTTGGATGGTAAAAGCATGTGAATACTATATAATACAAAAGAAGATTATATTGAATAAAAGCTTACTCTACAAATGTACTATGTTTGAACTCAACCTAAGTAATGAATATAAATATGTTCTGTTCAAATGTACTATGTTTGACCTCAAGTTATGTAGAGTTTAATATAATCAGATCTAACAAAGCCCTGATCATTCTTCTATGTAGAGATATTTTTAACCACTTAATATAAAGGTAAAAAGCTCTGTGCAGAACAAAATCGAAGGCTCTGCATATTATTATAATGCTAATGTGACCTCATTAAAACCATGAAATGAAAAACAGAGACAATATGCAGAATGCAATTGAAGGCCATAATATAATATAAACAGGCTCTATGCAGAATGCGATCAAACGCCATATTACTATAATGCCCTCATTAAAACCACGAAGAATAAAGACATAACCACAGGGTTAGCTAATCTTTAAATTGAAAAGCATCAAAAGAAACTATTGAGACGATTGAAGATCATGAAAGGAAACAACAAAGGTATTTTTGCTCCACAAGAAAGAGTTGCACAAACAATTAAAATTAGAACTATCTCAGATAAAACTCAAAATAAAGGGTTTAATTGGAGTACAAAATTCTCAAAAATTCAACTGGACTTAAATTAAAGAAACTAGAGCATCAAGCAAAAGCAAAATGCTTAACTTTCAGTTTGTTCCCTCAACCTCCTGATTGTGCTCCGGACAGTAACGGCACTAGCAGTGCTGTCAGAAAAGAAAGAACAATATCATGTGGGCTGCCTTTCAAACTTGAAATGTAAAACATTAAAAAAAAAAGGAATAAGAAAAAATACTTCAAAGTGTAAGCTCCTCCTGCTTTCACTTTGCCACAATCCTTGCATCCCCATATTCCTACAGCTTTTCTCTTCACAGCATACTGAAAAGGTAATTGGTCATCAGAACTCAACATTACACAAACATAACATTAAACCCACCAAAGTAAATGCTTAGGTAGTTGGCATCGGATATGTAATTTAAAAAAAGAAAGACATACAAAATAACATTAAAGTCTACCTTTCCACAAAATTCACAAAAAAATTTGCTGTGCTGACTAACTTCCATCTTCTTAATCTGCTTACGCAGACTAGCACCATAACGGGTACCTGTTATAATAAAACAAGTAAAATAAGCTTCCCATATATCAACAAATGTGCTCTTATAAGACTTACAAAGTTGTTGAAACAAATCCAAATATGCTAAAAAATACTACAGATACAATTCATTAATTGGTTGCAACAGATCAGGAATATTAGTTTTCCCACCAAATTGTTAAACCATCTATAATCCAATTGCTTATAAACACTAAACCCTGTTTTCATACAATTGTTCAAAACAGCCAGTTATCTGGAAACTTTTCATACAAGCATTCCTTCAGATCTAAACAGCAGTGCATATATCTCTAATCATCCTATCACAAACACAACCACATAATCACTAAAAAGCACAGCCATAACATTGAAGAACATAATAACAAGCAAATATCAATAACCGAAACACAAGGAACTAATCAGATTTCACAATAATCAAAGCGAGAAGACACACCATATTTGCCAACAATTCCAGCCTTCTTTGTCCTTTTAGTCTGCAAAACGGTTTAAAAAATCAAAATCATACAATGATGAACGATAAAAAGTAGTTAAAACATACTCGAAAATCGAAAATCTGAAAGGAAGAAGGACTCAACAATACTTAGTTTCCTCTATCTATCGTTCTATCTGTAATTCTATAAAAATTGGAAAAAGTAAAGAGAAGTTTTGAACTGAATGACGAATATCGAAATCAAAAGAGGAGGAGAGAAAGAGTACCATTTTTACAGAGATCGAAGAAGCTGCAAGCTTGGTGTAAGGAAATGGCAGCGATGGAACGGAAGAAGCAGAGAAACCCTAAATTCTATTTGGCCCTATTTATAAAGATCTGCGTTGGGTGGATCGGGTACATATCCGATTTTACCACTGCGGCCTTTTTTATTTTACCCTTTGAAAATATAATTCTAGCGTGCCAATACAATTGCAATTGCAAGTACTCAATTTTAGATTCAATTTCAACTCACATATTATTAAATGAATCTCAATTAATAATAAAATTTTAAATTTGCTCTTAGTCAATTATATTGGTCTCTTATCGATCACCTTAAATGAGTTATAGTCTTTTAGATAAAACCACAAATTTAATAAATAGTGTAACATATTAGTGCTGTTTTTTTAAACATTAAATATATAAATGCACGATAAAATTCATCATAAATATATTTACAAAAACTAAAATTATATTAAAGTAATACCTAAAATTGCATAAAATACTTGCAATTTACAAGAATTATCATTAAAATAATCAAAGTGTAACATCCTAAATAAATTAAAGGGTTAATACCTATTTTCACGGTGTATTTGAAAAACCCTGCCAAAAAAAAAAGTTCCAATTGTTACCTTGACAAATTTTAAAAGTTTCAGTTTTTACCTTGAGGATGTCACATCACCTAAAAGGCTGATGTGGCTTATATTTTTGTTACATTTGTAAGTTTTTGTTATGCCATGTCACACAATACCAAATAAAATGTCCAGAATGCCCTTTTCTTAAAATCCCAAATTATTTGGCAAATGTTATGTTTCAATTCAGACCCTCCAAATTAGGACGCAGCCATCCATCTTCATTTGTTTGCAAAATTATTTTACAAAAAAAGGCAGTTTCAATTCAGACCCTGCGATTAGAGTTCTTCATCCTTGCAAATGGGTGTGTTTAATTTAGTGTTTCATCATGGGGGAAGTTTCGTGCAAGACGGCCATACGTATTAAAGAGGAGGTAGTGAGACTACTGTTGAAGGTCAGGACGAAGATAAATGGAGCTTTTTTGAAGCTGTTAGTCTGGTTAAAGATTGGGGTTATGAAGGTTTTAGGCTATGGAGAAAGATTCCGCAAACGTATGAAGGGTTTACAAATGTTGTTGATGATGCAGGAGCTGTAGAAGTTGCTAAGCATTGTATGTCTTGTAGGGTTCACGGCGATCTTTGGATAGAGCACGGTGTAGAAGACATGATGACCAAGGTTCTGGTACCTAATGTTGATGACTTCAGCACCTCTAGTGGAGATGATAGTACTGGTGACTATGTTGATGCAAGCCAATGTTTCAATGACAGTGAAGAGGAAAGAGTAATTGACGTAGAAGAAGAACAATTTGTACAAGTGGAGGTAGTTGTTCCAGTTAGTGGGAATAGGGTGGAGATCGGAGGGAAATCATTGAGATTCAAGCGTTGTGCATCCAAGGATCCCAAAAAGATGAAAGAAAAGAGCAAAAGGGACAAGGTCAGTGTTTTAGTGCCCAAAAGTGTCTTAGGTTCTTGTTCAAAGAGGGCTACAAGGATATGTGAAGATGTGGATTATGCTAGTGAGGAACTTGAAAGTTCAGATGCTGATGAAAGTGACATGGATGACAAACCTTCCAAGCTAAAGTATGAGAAGTTCAAATCAGAGCTGCTTAACAAAGACTTTCAATTCAAATTAGGTATGGAGTTCATTTCTCTTTCTGAATTTAAAGATGCTATCAGGGATTGGTCAGTATTAAATGGTAGAGAAATAAGGTTTGTTAAGAATGAGAGCTGTAGGGTTAGGGTTGAGTGTAAGAGTAAATGTGGGTTTTTGGCATTGTGTAGCAAAGTGTGGGGTAGCCTCACTTACCAGATAAAGACTTGGGTGGGGACCCACACATGTGCAAGGGTATTAAATAACAAGTCTGCCAATTCCAAGTGGGTCTCTAAGTTAGTGGTTGAAAAGAGGAAGTCACAAGGGAAAGTTAAACTGTCTGAAATTATGTCTGAGCTTAGACAGAAATATTCAATGGGCATTACCAAAGGGAAAGCTTGGAGAGCCAAAGCTATGGCTGAAGAAATAATTGAAGGTGATGCAAAGGAACAGTATAACATGTTATGGAGATATGCAGCTGAGTTGAGAAAACATTGTGCTGGGAACACTGTCAAACTAAATACTGAGAGACCACATCCAACACTACCACTAAGATTTGGTAGATTTTACTTCTGTTTTGATGGATGCAAGAAAGGGTTTACCAAGGGTTGTAGACCATTTATAGGGGTAGATGGGTGTCATCTTAAGACACAATATGGAGATCAGTTGTTAATTGCTGTAGCAAGGGACCCGAATGACCAATATTATCCTTTGGCATTTGGTGTGGTGGAGACTGAGACAAAAGAAAGCTGGAGATGGTTTATGCAATTGCTAATGGAAGACATTGGAGAAGAGAGAAAGTATGTTTTTATTTCAGACCAACAAAAGATACAAATATGCACTAATTACCTTTGTTATTCACATTTATGAAACATGCACTAATTCTGCACTAATATGCACTAATTCTGCTACTGTAGTATGTCTTAATTCTGGTACTGAAGTATGTCTAATTCTGCACTAATATGCACTATTACCTTTGTGACATAGTTCTGGTTTATACAAAGTGCACTAATTCTGGTTTATTTGCATAGTTCTGGTTTAGTTGCATATTTCTGGTTTATTTCCCTATATGCACTACTTAATTCTGGTACTGAAGTTCTTCATGAAATATCTTACCTTTGTGCCATAGTTCTGGTTTATACAAAGTGCACTAATTCTGTATGCACTAATTCTGTATGCATTAGTTCTGGTTTATACAAAGTACACTAATTCTGTATGCACTAATTCTGTATGCATTAATTATGTATGCATTAATTCTGGTTTATACAAAGTGCACTAATTTTGTATGCACTAATTTTGTATGCACTAATCTTGTATGCATTAATTCTGGTACTGAAGTATGCATTAATTCTGGTACTGAAGTATGCATTAATTATGTACCATAGAACTGAAGTATTAATTCTGTACCATAGAACTGTAGCATTAATTCTGGTGCTAATGTTCAACATTTATCAGAACCTGCTGCTAATGTTACATGCCTTGTTCTGTTGCTAATGTTCAACATTTATGAGGAATATATAAGTTGCTAATGTACATGCTTTTTTCTGTTGTCTTGCTGTTTTTAGGGACTTGTTAGTGTCTTTGAGGAAATGCATCAGCAAGTTGAACATAGGGTCTGCCTCAGACACCTGTATGCAAATTTCAAGAAGAAATTTGGAGGGGGAGCTGCCATTAGAGACCTGTTATTGGGGGCTGCAAAGGCTACTTACTTCCAGGCTTGGGAGAAGAAGATGAATCAGCTTAAACAAATTGATAAGAAGGCATGGGAATGGCTGATGGGAGTGCCAACAAAACTATGGTGTAAGCATTCATTTTCATTTTACCCTAAGTGTGATGTTTTGATGAATAACTTGAGTGAATCTTTCAATAGTACAATATTACAAGCTAGGGATAAGCCAATACTCACTATGATAGAATGGATTAGGAACTACGTGATGAATAGGATTGCTAATAGTGTTGTTAAGCTTGATAAGTGGAAGCACAATGTCATGCCTAATCCTAGGAAAAGGCTTGATAAGGAAACATATCTTAGTGGAGAATGGCTGCCTACATGGAGCAGTGGTGATTTGTGGCAAGTCCATCACCCATATAATGGATTGCAGTTTGTTGTTGATATTGGGAAAAAAACATGTACTTGTTGTTTTGGGGATCTTGTGGGCATACCTTGTAGGCATGTTGTTTCTGCATTACAGTATCAAAACTTAGATCCTGATAAATATGTTGACCCTTGTTACATGAGAGAAGCTTACAGGGCATGTTATGAAAACAATGTTAGTCCAATAAATGGCATGGACATGTGGCCAATTGTGGATGCTGAAGAATTGTTGCCACCACAATACAAGAAGGGACCTGGAAGGCCTAAGAAACTGAGGTTTAGAGAGTTGGATGAGAATGGTTCAAGGATGAGGAGGGTAAGTGTAGCATATAGATGCACGCATTGTGACAAATTTGGCCATAATTCTAGGAAGTGTCAAGCTAAGGAGCAAGATCCTAATGCACTAAAGAGAAAGGTATTGTGTTCATGAATCTGTTACTGAATAATATTGTGTTCAGCATATTGAAATGTCTTTATTTATATTTGTTTCTGAATAATGCAGAGAAAGACACCCAGGACCAAAGTGTCAAAAAAATCTGATGGGACTGCGGATGAAGGCCCAGAGATGGATGCAAATGTTGATACAACTGCAACTGGAGGTGGAACTGTGGATGAAGACCCAGAGATGGATGCAAATGTTGATACAACTGCAATTGGAAGTGGAACTGTGGATGAAGACCCAGAGATGGATGCAAATGTTGATACAACTGCAATTGGAGGTGGAACTGTGGATGAAGGCCCAGAGATGGATGCAAATGTTGATACAACTGAAACTGGAGGTGGAACTGTGAATGAAGGCCCAGAGATGGATGCATTGCTGAATAATATGATGGATCTTTATGAAGAATAACAATCACAAGTTGACAATCCCACACAACCTACTACTATGCAACCTCCCCCAACACATGAATCACAACCTGCTGCAATACAACCTCCCCCGACACATGATTCACAACCTGCTGCAATGCAACCTGACCCTGCTGCTACTAATGTCAAAAAACCTTCAGCTAGGAAAAAGGCTGTGGTCGTGCCTTGGAAGCGATCAAGAAAGAGAGTCAGTGAAAGATTGAAGGAAGTGAGGAATGCCAAAAGACATGGTGGGCCTGGATCAACACCTGATGCACCTTTGACCATAGGTGAAGAAACTGGTGGTAGTACCTCAAAGAAGATATCAAGGAAGAAGAGGAAGGGCATTGATCAGTAGTTGTGCACATAGTGTGCTATTTTGTAAAATTCAATTTGAAAGTTTCTTGTGTCATTTTGTTACTTTGACTTATTATCAGAACAGGCTTGGCTTAAGTTATGTATCATGTTATTGTCATTTTGTATCACAGATGTACTTGACTATGTATCACAACAGATTTGCTTGACAATGTTAAAGTCATTTTGTATCACATATGTACTTGACTATGTATCACAACAGACTTGCTTAACAATGTTAAAGTCATTCTGTACAACAGATTTGCTTGACTATGTATCACAACATATTTGCTTAACAATGTTAAAGTCATTTTGTACAACAGATTTGCTTGACTATGT